TTTTTTTTTATCGATGTCGCCTATTTATACGAGAGCCAGCAAAATCTCACGTTGCCTTGCTATTTGCGCTCACACTTGCGATAATTTTTTTATTACCCGCGAAGCACACTCGTGTGTTTCGAGAATTAATGCGGAAGAGAGAAATTATAACCTACCTACCTACAGCCAATACATACGCAACACATCACGCATGGAAACCTATGTGTGTGTGTGTGTGTGACGAACGCGCGTGTGTGTTGCGCGAGCGTGAAACTGGCGTGAACACGTCATGAATGATATGACAATTTAATTAATATATCGTGCCACGATACAAAGTGCGAAAAGGAAAACGCGTGGCGCGAGCGACTATTAGCGATATCATTGCAACTTTCACCGAGGTGCTTTCCAAGGATGATCCAGTAAAATTCACTGGACTGTGATCTCCGCTTGGTATACATCTTACATGTGTATCACATAATTTAGGTCTTTATAAGGTACGAGAAGGTAAATTCACTTATCTGTTATTTATTTATTTTTTCTTTCTATGTGTATATACGTAGCTGTCGTGGCGATTGTGTGTCTCGTACAGCAAGGACTTTTTAATCGCGCTAGAACACACTTCGAGGAATATATATTAAGTTCGATATATGTTCTCTTGTTAAATTTGTTAATATCGAAGAGAGAAAGATTAAGAAACACAAGTTTTTTTTCTTTTTCAAAGGAAACAAGAGGTTAACAAACGTCTCCTAAATAACGCGTCTCAGAATAGTAATTAGATCTATTTTTGCTTCAGTTCGACGCGAAGGAATGATAAAAGTCCATATGTTTTGCACGCTTTGGTTATCCACATTTCTTTTATTTGGTAAAAAATTGAATCCGTAAATATACAGTGAGAGATCTTGTTGCAGAATTACGTTATACGAACGAACAAATTGACAACAAATTTATATTCCGATGAAATTTGTAACATCTTGTACGCACATAAATGATCAAATTGGAATATTAGCCTTCTTTACTTTTTTGTCTGGATATTTACAGAAATAAAATTTATAAAATATATTCTTTATTGGTAAATTTATATTATTTATTTATTCTATGCACATGTTTTTTTTTTGTTACAGGCTAATAATTTAAGAAATACTATGTTGGGTAATTCCACTGCCAGTCGACGTGTGAAAGAACAGGGTTCTGTTAATGGAATTCAAAAAAGTGCTCAAAGAAGAACGGTTGACGCAACAATGGAATATAGTTCCAGCTATCCACAAAATACTTCGAATTTGGATCCAGAGCAATTAACACTTTGGAAACACCCAATCACAACGTTACATTATTTTTTTAGTGAAGTGTTTATCAATATACTTAGTTTAGCGAAGAAAACAATGCTTTACAAAAGAACAGTTTGCTCTGTAATTTCCATTGTAATGTTGTTTGTTTTGTCAAGCAGAATCTCTGGTCCACAACAACAGGTATGTTCGGGATCTCTATTTATATAAATTTATGTATGCGCCGATTTATTTATTTGTATAAGTTCTTTTTTAAAAATCATCAAATATTAATTTTTCACACGTTTTAAATTTATTTATAGAATTTTTATAGAAAAATAATATCGTTAAAAAGGATTCTCTCTTTTTCAGATTTTTAAGTTGTGGGAAGCTAAGATTATATGGTGGTTATATTGGGTGGGACTAGGTGTATTATCGAGTGTAGGTCTTGGAACAGGTTTGCATACTTTTGTGCTATATCTAGGACCACACATAGCGGCTGTTACTATGGCAGCATATGAGTGTGGCGGTTTAAATTTTCCGGAACCGCCATATCCCGATCAGATAATATGCCCAACGAAAATTGACCCGGCATGGGCAGTAGGTATATTAAATATTATGAAGAAAGTGCGTGTGGAAGCCATGCTATGGGGTGCTGGTACCGCACTCGGCGAGTTACCGCCATATTTCATGGCTAGAGCCGCGAGAATAAGCGGAAAGAGTCATAAAAACGAAAATTTTGATCAGGAAGATCTGAAGGAATTGGAAGCTCTGGAGGCATTAGAAAACGGAGAGAATGTATCGTTTGTGATGCGCATAAAATTGATTATGAAACGATTTGTTGAAAAAGCTGGATTCTGGGGCATATTGGCTTGCGCATCGGTACGACTGTGTTATTAATCATTTAGAGAGAAAAACTAAACTTTTAAAAATTTTTAAACAATTATAAGTTATTGATTTTTTAATTTTGATTCGCGTAATGATAAAGATAAAAACAAGTTTCTCTTTGAGGATTTATTTTTATTTTTATCAATATGTAGCAAGAGATTGTTTCAAATTTGAATATATGGTTTATTATTTTATATATGTATAAATGCATGTATAAATTCCAAAATGTTTTATGTTATCAAAAATTTTAGATTCCAAATCCACTATTTGACTTGGCCGGTTTGACGTGTGGACATTATCTCATTCCGTTCTGGACATTCTTTGGTGCGACGCTCATAGGAAAAGCTGTTGTTAAAATGCATATACAGCAACTAGCAGTAATCATAGCATTTAACGAAGAACTTTTAGACAAATTTATTAGTTTGTTAGCCATCATACCGTTTGTTGGTGCAAAATTCCAAGAGCCATTGAAAAAATATTTTATTGCTCAGAAACAAAAGCTACACGATAAATCGTCTATGGTAAGTTGCCTTTTTTTTTTTTTTTGTTTGTTTCTTAACTGTGAAGAATTTACATAATTAACGTGTTGAACTTTTGTATTAATCTCAGAATATGAAATTTTGCTTTCTGCAGGACGGAACAACTACAATATCATGGCTGTTTGATAAAATCGTAACATTTATGGTCTGTTATTTCTTAGTGACCATCATACACGCGCTAGCACGAAATCATCATCGTAGACGAACCAAACCATCCGTCGATTAAAACACGAAAGACATAGCTCGTAATTAGAAATTTGACATAAGTTCCATTGCAAACGTAAATAAATACAAATTGATTTTTTGTGCCGAAATAATAAGGTACATATGATTATGCATATGGAATATGTTAATATTCCCATTTCTATGATTTCAGTATCGCGGTAACGGTATAATTGCAACAGTCGAAAAACATTTCAGGGACACGCGTGACAGTTGAACATTTAAGGTTTGTTTTTTCTTTGAGTATACATGTTCACCATGTCACAATTATATCCCGTAAACGTCGCAAAAACGTTTGGTCTCGATTATGCGGACGTTTACATGTATATACATATAGACTGTTCTTTATATGAAATAAGATAATTCATGTACAGTGCATGAAACGAACATCCGACTTTGTAACACATTTGCATAATCATTTGCTATTCAAGCTTCACTATTATTATATAGATAATGAGAAGTACGTTTTACAGTTTTTCGAGTGATAAAAATATATGTAATCAAATAAAATTAGTATCCGGAAAATGCTACATTTCTATAAAATTTTGTGTATGTATGTGTACATATATATATATATACATATAAATATATACATTTTAAAACTCGAAAATTACCTGCTGCGCAGCTTAGTGAATTACGATGTTAGAAACGAGAAATATCGTGTCAATTTTTCTGCATGCCATAAATCAAAATTCTTTTACATGCCACTATAAGAAATAAGTTATGTACATATTTACATATATTTTTCATAAAAAAAAAGAAATTTCTTGCTTCTGACATTATAATTTGACACAATTTTACAAAAGTAATAGCTCTAAGACATAAAAGAAAGACAAAAATTTAAATTTCTGTGACATCCTTTTGCATTAATAAGAACTCGATAATTGAACTGAAATAAATTACAAATGAAAGCTGATAAACCGTGATTGAAGACATAAGTGTGTATATATTAGTGTGATATTAGTTATTTTTATAAATTAATGCTTGCAAAATAGAAGAAAATCCTTACATATAGACTTATTTATTCGGACAATTTTTAAATAATTTATATACACATAGAATAGTACATACTATTTAATGATATGAATAGAATTTTCTTTTGCTATATTGATGAATTCATAATCCATATCATTTTTTTTTTTACAAATCTTTACGTACCTCTTTTTAATCTAACATCATTACTTAAGACTACAGTTCTTTTAAACCACACAGTTCTCTTAACGATACAAGTGGTCAGCATGAATATTGCTAGCAATTTCGGATTCCCATTTATCTCCATTGTCCAAAAGCTTTTCTTTGTTGTACAACATTTCTTCGTGCGTTTCAGTTGAAAACTCAAAGTTCGGTCCCTGTGACAAGAAGATTGGCATTCAATTTAATTCCACAATGTTTTTTTCTCACACATTTTTACAAATTCTTTTAATCAACGTTTTTATATGAGGATAGAATATTAAGGTGGCTCTTATTTACTTCTGGTAAAAATTTTTTTGAATTTTTTTTCAACACACTTCCAATTGTTTTAATTGCACAAAAAAAATGATCTGTAAAAAAGTTCAACCCGATTGAATTAAGGGGAAAGAAGCCTCTGAGCTCTTAAACATTAAAACAATTACTTAAATGCACAACAAATCAATTTTATTTGATTATCTTCTAACTTATTAAAGTTAGAAGCAAATTAAAAGCCACCTTAGTAGAATATACTATAGATATACCTCAACAATAGCATCAACAGGACAGGCTTCTTGGCAAAAACCACAATAGATACATTTAGACATATCGATGTCATATCTAGTCGTACGTCGAGATCCGTCTGCTCTTTCTTCTGCTTCAATTGTAATAGCTTGTGCAGGACATATTGCCTCACACAATTTACAAGCAATACACCTTTCTTCTCCAGAAGGATATCTATTAACAAAAAATATTAAAAATTTTGGTAATGATTAAGAATTGAAATATAAAAAATCTATTATCTATCTTCAGAATATAATTTTATATGTAATATACAAATCATATATATATTATATAACACTAAGTTATAATGAATTTTTGTTTTTGTTTTTTTTTTATATTTTGAGTTTTACCTTCTTAGTGCATGTTCTCCTCTAAATCTGGGACTTAGAGGTCCTTTTTCAAAAGGATAATTTATGGTAGCCGGTTCTCTGAATATATGAGATACGACAAGTCCCAAGCCTCGGAAGAGTTCAAGAAAAAACATATGTGTGGTGGCATCTTCCATAATTTCTGACCAGTTTTTTTCTTTATGTTCGTTCACATAATAATACTTATTACGACTCAAATATGCATTTATTCCATTTGCAACATTCTTATTGAACCTTGGAACTATAATAAATTTATAATTTTTTTTGTACTTATATATGTGTATACACATATTTACAATGAGAAACATTACTTGCATGATGTGTGAAATGTAAATATTTTTTAGACAAAAGCCTGACTACGAAAATACATAATCAATTATACGCAATATGTAAATTTCATAAAATCAAATCTGTCTACAAAACTGTGATAGAGAAAATTTCTAACCTCAGCGCAATGTTTTTGAAATCAAAATCATCAATTAATAAAACGCAATGTCAATTCTTATTGTATGCTAATCTAACGTGTATAATTCTACATACGTTTTCCACACTTTTTAACGAAACTTATAAAATCTATTTTGTTAATACATCTACATACAGAGATGTGTCGTACCTATTTTGCCCGTTCCCGCAATTAACCGCAAAGAGTTCATTGTTGCTGTATCTGATTGATCAGAAAAAATTAAAAGATTGAACAGATTTGTGTATAGAAATGAATTTTCTTATGCGTACGCACTGTTATAACAAATATCTTTCACGTTCATGTGCAATGCGATAATCGGCGCTGTAACAACAGCTGATCCGATAAACCCTAGATTTGGTGCAAGAAGATGTGGCTCCAAAACCCGTGTTAAGCTAGTCCATATGTCATTCTAAGACCGGTATTGGTACTGGTATCCTTAGGCTAGATCCTCATACAGACACCGGTGTTTTGACACCGAGCGTTGATTGGTGAAAAGCCGATAGTGAAAGTAAATGGCAGCCCTAATTTACCCTCACCACTTGCTTTTCACCAATCAACGTTCGGTGTCAAAGCGCCGATGTCTGCATGAGGATCCAACCTTATGGCTCAGTGAACCTTTGTAGCTAGTCCATACGCCATTCTACCGTCTTCATTGAGAGTTAGATTAAAACCGTGGGTCTTTGACGTTTGGCCACGGAGTTGTATGTTAGTGTAGCTTCTTATGCCGATATCGTAGATTTGGATCGGATTTGGAGCAGATGAGGAGTTTTAAACCCAACATGTGGGATTCGGAGCAATGCTCCAATCAGACAAGCGAACTGAGTTAGGGAGTTTGCAAGGAGGATTAGGGTAGAGGGAGATTTTAGACTGTTGGATGATATCAGAGAGAAGCCTGAGAGCCATTACACGTGAAAAAATTTTAGCCGTAACCGTAAGGTCGTAAGCAATTTAACCAATTACAGACCAGTATTATCTTACATTAGTTGGAATGCTGGCCAGCGATTGGTCGATTTGCTTACGACCTTGCGACTACGTCTAAATTTTTGCTACGTGCAATGGCCTTGAGAGCGCGGCCACGGCCATAAAGCCCGTTCTACATTGATCACAAGCGCAAACGCAAGATATAGATCTCGTAGAATTGACCAATCACGCTGGTCAATTGGCTGATTTGATCAATACGATTAGTCAATTCTATCAGACCTGTTCCTTGCGTTTGCGCTTGCGATCAATGTCGAACAGGCTTTATGGCCGTGGCCGCTCTCAGGCTTCTATCTGCTATAATAGAACAACGCTGTGAAAATGGCACAGAAAAGAACCAGAGAGAAACCTGAGAGTGGCCATCCTATTGTAATTTTTTACGACGGTTTCAGACGCTGGTTTTAGCCGTATTTCCACAAAAGTGGAACTCAAAGGCCGTTCTCCATGAAACTCAAGTCGCAGGTCTCTTGGAACTGATCAATCACGTTGGTCGATTGGCTGATTTGACTCTGCAATTGGTCAATTCCACGAGATCTGATACTTGCGTTTAATGTAGAACGGCCTTTGAGTTCCACTTTTGTGGAAATACGGCTAAAACTAGCGGCTGAAACCGTCGTAAAAAATTACAATAGGATGGCCGCTCTCAGATTTCTCTCTGTGCGTATGCACCGACGAGAACTGCTCGTAAACATGGCTACGTAGTTGCCAATATACACTACCGTGAATATAGCGCTAGCAAACAGAACAAAGCGACAACAGCCAAATTGAAGCCGCGGCCGCTCTCTTCTCTCTGCTGCTCCACCAGCAATTCACGTAAACCTAGCGCTCCCTACGTTCATTTTTAATCTCAAGAAGCTTTGCGAATAAGTTATCACACCTTTTGTCGGTAAGATGTCACGTTCTTTATTTTTTTCTGTTTTATAATCCTCATCGACAAGTGGCGCTACTACTACCTCGAAATGGTTACTCGCTCGAAGTTTGTCACGATTCTGACAATCAGCGGGAGAGAGAGATATGATGATAAAGCTGCGACGCAGTATCGGTCGCGCGCGCGCAGCGACGGCTTTATATACATCCGCGCCCCAATTAAGATAAAATATTTCGATGTGGTTTTGTTCGCTCGTTTAACTTCGATCGCAAAGGATGGATTTCTATCTTCGTTCACGATAAAATGAAACGGTCAAAGAGTCTCTCGAGCCAATCGCAAACAGCAATTAGAAACAAAAATCGGAAATATCGCCGCGCGCCCAATTAAAGCGCATTTTTTTTTTTATTTACTCGGATTGTCCTCGATGTGCTGTTTACTCAACTCGCGGAGTCGCGATTATTATTCGCCGGCACTGGTTGGCGTCAGAAGAAAGGGGGGAGACAGACAGTCGACGAAGTGTCGTGGTCGCCGTGCCTCGTCACGAGCACGCATTAATCGGGCGCGCGAGAGCGTGTGTCACGCGGGTGGTGCTTGACGCGGGTGGGCCTCCTCTCAAACGGGCTTCGTTCGGCCGTGCCAGGCGCGCGTCTCTCTCGAACAGAGGGCCCGATTTTAATGGGCGGGGTCGCGGGC